ATTACTTTATAATATATATTATTAAATATGGTAATTACCAAATTCATACAGTAACTTACAAGCATTATCTCGTAGTCAAAAAAATTTGTATAAATGCAATATCTCTTGGTTAGAATATTACCATGTAATAATTTTAATTAAGGTAATTAATTAATTAATTACTTTATAATATATATATTATTAAATATGGTAAGTACTAAATATTCGAAATTTATAAGATTTTTCTTAATGTGAATCTATATATTTTAAATAATTTCAATTTAATAATATTATACCTTAATTATAAAAATAATACCTTTTATATATATATATATATATATATATATATATATATATATATATATATATATATATATATATATATATATAATTCTCCTATTTTATTTTTTTCGCTCAAACTTTTGTAGACAATTAATTAAATATTCTATTGGTAATACCATGTAGAACATATATTAATTAGGTAATAACATAATAGCATAATGGGTAATAATATGTATGATATTTATTAATTGGTAATAAGCATATTCAGCCAACTGCACGAATAAGCATATAGCTATTATATTTAAAAATTTAAATTTTTGTCTTTTTTTTGTTTTTGAGAAATTATGTCTTTTGTTTAAATTGAAAGTGTAATGGTTTTACATTACTTTGAATATTCATTTGTTTTATTCATTTATCCACACCATGTTCATAGGTGAAATTATAGTATTTAAAAGAATAATTGAAAAATAATTATTAACTGAGAATAAAAAGGGCACAGAATTTAGGTCAATTAAAATAAGAAATAACTATTAATAATTGACTGAAAATTAAGAATGCTTCGAAATTGACTCAAATGCAAAAATTAAAATGAATATTAATACTTGATTAAAAAATAAAAATGAAATGAATATTAATGTTTGAATATTAATAAATTACTGAAAATATAAAAAATTTCATTGAAATTAGACCAATTGGAAAATGAAATGAATATTAATACTTGAATATTAATAAGTTACTAAAAATATAAAAATTACTTGTATAAAATTTATTAATAAATATGTAAAATGAAGTTTGCATTTTAACGTTTAGCTGAGATAGAGAGAAATATTAATCTCGATTATATATTTTATAAAATGTAAAATTAGTGGAAATAAAAAAAAAAACTGTTATTTTAATTACTAATTAATTAATCTATATATAATTAAAAGAAAAATTCTCCTAGCAAAATCCCCCCCCCCCCCCCCCCCAAACTTAGGCCTCCATAGAACGTAAATATTTCAATAATAATATCTACAACATCAGTTAAAAATGGAATGAAAATTATGTAAAAATATCACTGCATTTGGTTTCTAATTGACTCATTGACTGAAAAAGAAAAAATAATTGGCTGAAAATGAATATGATATTACTAATTGACTGAAAATATAAAAGGATTGATTACAAATAAAAAATGATTCGTAATTGACTAAAGTGAAAAAAAAAATGGTCAGACCATTGCATTTTAATTAAAAATTAGACGGAAATATTTCAATAATAATATTCTACATTTGTTAGAGTCTTAATATTATTATGTGGTTGTGCTGAGTCTTGCTTGTACATAGCCTAGAGTTTAGGAAGCTCTTTAGAGTTCTCTTGTATTAGGACTCTCAGTATTACAATTTCAATCTATCAATCCTTTCATCGTAACTTCATCTGGTATCAGCCTAATCATTACCGATCCTAAGCCATGTCGACACATTCATCAGAACGTACGAACACTGCTGCCACTCTTCCCTCCCCGATCACCACAAACAATTTAACATCCGCTCACCACTTCATCTCCCTAAAACTCACAAACAGGAATTTTTTATTTTGGCGCACGTAGATCATACCGTTCCTACGTGGGCAAGGGCTCATCGGTTACGTTGAGGGTGACATACCGTGTCCACCAGCCACCATCGCAGCGGCCTCCTCCGGCGATGGCTCCGGCAGCTCGTCTCCATCACCACTCCCAAATCCGGCGTACGCACAATGGATACAACAAGATCAATCGATCCTAAGTCTCCTCGTCTCCTCCCTCTCCGATGAATGCATGCATTTGGCGGTTGGCCGTGAGACCTCCAGGTCCGTGTGGCTCTCCATCACTGCCGCTCTTGGATCGTCAACGCGTACCCGGTGTCTAAACCTTCTCGGTCAATTCCAATCTCTACGGCAAGGAGATAATTCGGCGGCCGAGTATTTGGGACGTGCGCAGCTTCTGGTCGAGCAACTCTCGCAAGCAGGTAGGCCTATGTCTCTCGACGAACAAAACTTATATGTGTTCAGGGGACTGAGGCCGGAATTCAGAGCGGTGGCCGCGTCTCTCACGGTTACGGGATCACCGGTAACCATCCCTCAACTCGCGGACTTCCTCCAGGCGCAGGAGTTCATTTATGCAGACGAATTCCTCCCGGTTGATCAGAACCGCAACTCCTCTCCAGTCGCCATGTACGCCGGGCAGGGGCAGAACCGCCGGCAGAATAACAATGGCGGTGGCCGTGGGCAGAATCGCGGCCGCGGGCAGAACCGAGGACGCGGCGGACGTGGGCAGAATCGCGGCGGTGGTGGTGGTTCGCTGTCAGATATGCAGGTGTCATGGGCATACCGCCGTGTATTGCTCCAAGAGATACAACACCCAGCCGCCGGCACCACCGCAGGCACACGTCGCGACCACTGGAGACGACGGGGCAGGTTTTGTGTCGGAGACGTGGTTCCCGGACACCGGCGCAACTGCACACGCCACACCGGATTCCGGGATGATCGGCCAGGCCGAGGAGTACATTGGAGGCGATGTCCTTCGCGTTGGAAACGGTTCAGGTTTGGGAATTTCCTCTGTTGGACATGCATCTATTCCGTCGGTTTCTAAAAATTTAAAACTGTCAAATATTCTGCATGTCCCGAAATTGTCTGTTCTTCTTCTTTCTGTTCATCGTTTCACAAGTGATAATGCCGTGTTCTTTGAATTTCACAATTTTTATTTTGTTGTTAAGGATTCAATTACCAAGGAGGTACTTCTTAAGGGTCCTAGCACGGGTGACCTGTACAAACTGTCAATTTCGCGATCTCACGTTGCTTTCCTGAGTTCCCGGGCGTCTCCCAATGTTTGGCATCGGCGGTTGGGTCATCCACACTCAAAAGTTCTCCAGAAAATACTACCACAATGTCCAGTCACCACAAGTCGTTCCAGTTCGTCTGAATTATGTTCTGCTTGCTAACTCGGCAAATCTTCCCGATTCCCATTAGATAGGGTTTCCTTTATTTCAAATAATGTACTGGACCTTGTATACACGGACATTTGGGGGCCGTCACCTGTTATTTCGGTGAACGGCTTCAAGTATTTCGTTTTATTCGTGGATGATTATTCACGATTCTGCTGGTTTTACCCACTTCGGCTAAAATCAGATATTTATAGTGTGTTTCATTCTTTTCGTGTCATGGTAGAATGTCAGTTTTCACGTTCTATCAAGGCAATACAGTCAGATTTAGGCGGTGAATACCGCCGACTACACAGTGTCTTTGAGTCGTTGGGTATAGTACATCGCCAATCATGTGCCTATACCCACGAGCAAAATGGGCGCGTAGAACGTCGCAATCGCACATTGTCGAGACGGGTCTCGCTTTATTAGCCGAAGGGTCTGTTCCTACTAAACACTGGGACTCAGCCTTTGAAACAGCCACTTATCTAATAAATCGGCTACCGTGCTCCGCTCTCAAGTTTGAAAGCCCTCACTACCGATTATACAAAACCACACCTTCATACACTTTCCTAAGAGTCTATGGGTGTCGTTGCTTTCCCTATCTACGCCCATATAATAAACACAAAATTGAGTTTCGGTCAACCCCATGTGTTTTCCTAGGGTATCCCCTGTCCTTTAGAGGTTACAGATGCATGGACCTCAGCACAGGAAAAACCTTTATCTGTAGGCATGTCCGTTTTGATGAAAATGTATTTCCTTTTGCCACAAGTACAGGTGCTCCAGAAGTCGTGCACCAAGTCGATACACCATGGGCATCTGGCCCTATTGTGTCACAGGCTGGACCTCCCACACCACCGGCTGCACCTTTGGATGTTGTTCATCCTCCCTTAGCCATTGAAGCACCACCAGCTGCACCCAAGCGCGGCCGTGGTCGCCTAAGGAAGAACCCCCCACAACCACAACAACCACAACAAGAGCGTGGCCATGTCATGAGGCTACGGCGTATGACAAGGGGTGCAGATGAGCAATTTCAAGCTCTCACGGCGTCTGTGGATCCAACTTGCTATTCACAGGCCGTGGGGCACTCACAATGGCGAGAGGCAATAGACCAAGAGTTCAACGCCCTGATTCACAATGAGACCTGGCAACTCGTCCCGGCTCGACCGGACATGAATGTAATTGGGTGTAAGTGGGTGTATCGCACCAAACGCAAGGCAGACGGCACCATAGAGCGCTACAAGGCGCGTTTGGTAGCCAAAGGTTTCAATCAAGTCGCCGGAGAGGAATTTTTTGATACATACAGTCCTGTGGTCAAACCGACTACAGTACGCTTGCTTCTTTCCTTCGCCGTCTCACGCAATTGGACCCTGCGTCAACTCGACGTCCATAGCGCCTTTTTAAATGGGCGCCTGGCTGAAACCGTGTACATGCGGCAGCCACCGGGCTATGAAGATCCTCTGCATCCGGATCATGTGTGCCACCTACGGCGGTCTCTATATGGCTTGAAACAGGCACCCCGAGCCTGGTTCAAGCGTCTGTATGATTTTCTAATTTCTACAAGATTCAAGTCATCAAAGACTGACGTATCTCTGTTCCACTACACCACTGGGACGTCACGGGTCTTCTTACTTGTCTACGTGGATGATATCATCCTTATGGGGGATGACGCTGCACTCATCAACACAGTGTTACACCGCTTGAGCACTGCGTTCAAGATCCGGGATCTCGGCGTACCAAGTTTTTTTTTTGGGCATTGAGACCATTCCGATAGAAGGCGGGCTACTACTGTCTCAACGGCGTTATATGAGTGATCTCCTGAAGCGAGCAGGCATGACTGACTGCAAGCCGCTGGCTACTCCAGCTGCCCTTACTCAGCCTGTTACACCATCCACAGAGGACTTTGACAACCCCACTCAATATCGCCGCCTAGTTGGAGCGCTCCAGTACCTAACGATAACACAACCGGATCTCTCCTACGCTGTCAATCGCCTGTGTCAATTCATGCATACACCGACTGCTGACCATTGGGCCCTTCTGAAACATGTCCTCCGGTATGTTAAGGGTACGACTACTCATGGTCTTCGTTTGACTGCCTCGACTTCAGCAGATATTCACGCCTACTCGGATTCAGACTGGGCGGGCTGTCCTGTAGATCGCAAGTCCACCAGTGGATATGCAGTGTTTTTAGGGACCAACCTGGTCTCTTGGGTCTCGCACAAGCAACGGACGGTGGCGCGCTCGTCAACAGAGGCAGAATACAAGGGTCTCGCCGATGTTGCTGCAGAAGTCACGTGGGTTACCTCTCTTCTACGTGAGCTGGGTCTCCACTCCGGCGTACCACCCACTTAATTGCACTTACATTCTCTTTAGGATTAACAACTGTTTGAGAGGGTAGTTTGCCAGAACTCTGTGCTTCCAACCGACTTACCGTAGTTGCTAGTTGGCCCACTTGCCTTTCTAAGTTTTGAATACTAACCTTTGTTTCTTGAATACTAGTTCTTGTCTCTTGTTGGAATAGTTGTGTTTCTTGTTGAAACTGCAAAGTGTTAGTAGCAAGAGATTTAACAATATCTTCTAGATTCATACCTGAGCTAGAGCTTTGGGCTGGTTGGTGGCTGGAAGGGAATTGTTGTCTATACGTTTGAAAGTTGGAACGATTCGGAACAAACTGGTTCCCTTGTGAGTTCCCATAGTTAAGGTTCGGGTGATCCCTCCATCCAGGATTATATTTATTAGAAAATGGATCATACTTACCTTGAGGTTGTCCAGGAAAACCTCCAGCCATGTTGACTTGTTCAATAGGTTCTTCTTGAAGAGTTGGGCAGGCATCAGTTTGGTGCCCAACTACCGAGCAAATTCCACATGCTTTTACAGTTTGCATATTGCCTACTGCTAATTGACGAACAAGAGTAGTTAAACCAGTAATTTGTTGTTCAAGAGCAGAAATATTTACCTCATTCACTTGCTTAGATGGTTGGACAAGTCCATTGCCAAACTGTTGAGAATTTGCAGCCATGTTTGCAATTAGAGTTCTTGCAGCGTCCGGTGTCTTGTCAACTAAAGCACCACCGCTTGCGGCATCAATCATGCTTCTATCCATTGGAAAAAGTCCTTCATAAAAGTATTGAATGAGTAATTGATCATTAATTTGATGGTGTGGGCAGCTTGCACATAGTTTCTTGAAACGCTCCCAATATTCATACAGGGACTCTCCATTGTTTTGCCTTATACCACAGATTTCTTTCCTAATGTTGGCCGTGTAGACACTTAAATTTTGATAAATATTGATTATTTATCAATATTTATATATTTGAATATATTTGAAATATTTTGGATAATATTGATATTATCTAATTTGTTAATTAGATAATGTCAAAAGAGTTTGAGCTTATCAAAACTCTCTATCCTACAACTATAAATAGTGCATTTCATTTCTATGTAATCACACACATCCTAGGAAAAGTGATGTAAACATCTAGAAAAATATTATTCAGGATCACAATAAAAATGTGATACTGAAAGTAGAAGTCTCTCCTCCATAATGATCATGCCTATGCCTATTGATCCAAACCTCCATTGAAGATCAAGCCATTTGAACCCGGAGGCCCTTCAAGAAGAACAAGCTATATATACAAGCCCTTCTTTGAAGATCAAGCCACTTGAAACCCGGAGGCCCTTCAATGGTGGAGTGTTCAAGGCACCAATTAAAGAATCAGAGGATATCCAGAGACATGTACCCACACCGCATTGATACTTGATATGTAAACCAGAACTTTGAATTTCTAAATATATATTCAATTTTCTTTGTTTACAAATTGGCACGCCCAGTGGGACAGCTCTGCCTCTCATCTCTTCATAGGCACTTTCAACCGGTATGGGGGCAAACCCCATATGAAATTTGAAATGGAGGAGGCTAAATGATACTCCTTGGCACGAGTTTAAACGGCCTCATATCTTTCAAGGCTCCTTGGCACGAGTTGAAACGGCCTTATATCTTTAAGTTGTAGTGTCGAGACTTTCTTGCACTACATACTTTCAAGTGTTATATGCTCTCAAGTGGTGTACAAGCAAGTCTCGAGGGGGCATTTGTAGACACTTAAATTTTGATAAATATTGATTATTTATCAATATTTATATATTTGAATATATTTGAAATATTTTGGATAATATTGATATTATCTAATTTGTTAATTAGATAATGTCAAAAGAGTTTGAGCTTATCAAAACTCTCTATCCTACAACTATAAATAGTGCATTTCATTTCTATGTAATCACACACATCCTAGGAAAAGTGATGTAAACATCTAGAAAAATATTATTCAGGATCACAATAAAAATGTGATACTGAAAGTAGAAGTCTCTCCTCCATAATGATCATGCCTATGCCTATTGATCCAAACCTCCATTGAAGATCAAGCCATTTGAACCCGGAGGCCCTTCAAGAAGAACAAGCTATATATACAAGCCCTTCTTTGAAGATCAAGCCACTTGAAACCCGGAGGCCCTTCAATGGTGGAGTGTTCAAGGCACCAATTGAAGAATCAGAGGATATCCAGAGACATGTACCCACACCGCATTGATACTTGATATGTAAACCAGAACTTTGAATTTCTAAATATATATTCAATTTTCTTTGTTTACAGGCCGCCCTCGAAGCGGGGAAATATTTTTCAAGGAACGATGTCTTTAAGTTATTCCATGTGGTGATGCTCCCAGAAGGTAGATAGTATAGCCAATCCTTCGCTGAATCTTTCAACGAAAAGGGAAAGGCTCTCAACTTGATTTGTTCTTCAGTAACCCCTGTGGGTTTCATACTCGAACACACCACATGAAATTCCTTTAAGTGTTTGTGCGGATATTCACCTGCAAGTCCATGAAAAGAAGGCAAAAGATGAATTAACCCAGATTTTAGTTCAAATTGTATATTAGCATCCAGAGCGGGAAAAGTAATGCATAAAGGTTGCTGATCCAAATTTGGAGCTCCAAGCTCTTTTAAAGTCCGATATTGAGCCATGGGTTCCTCTTCTAAATCAGAATTGGTAGAATCGGTAGCCAGATCACTAAACTCCAATTTTCTCAAAGCTTGTTTCTTCCACCTGCGTATAGTTCTTTCAATTTCCGGATAGTACGGCAAGAGTTCTTGATTAGCAGATCGAGTTATAGGCATAAACAAAAAGAAAATATATTTTGATTTGCAATTATGTAAAAGTAATGAAAGAAAAGATTTTTTTTTTTTAATTTTTTTTTTTTGGGACAAATGAAAAACAAATAACAAAATAAATAAATAAACACAAAATAAGCTAGAAAATCTCCTCGGCAATGGCGCCAAAATTTGGCGAGCTGTCGTAGGCTCCCAAATTAAAACCTTACAAACGTAGTAGCGGGAGTAAGGATCGATCCCACGAGGAGTAACTAGTTTAACTTTTGTGCTCAAATTAAAGGTAGGGGGTTTGGAATATATCGAGAATAAAGATAAAATAAAAGAGAATTTAAATAAATAAGAAATTTAATTGAACGAATAAAGCAATGAAAATAATAAATCGAAAACACTTATAATAAGAAACCTTGGTTAGTAAAGATCCACCACCGGAATTCAACACTGATCATTGATTAATAAAGTAATTAATATGCAATTGAATATTTATCGTGAAATTATTTCATTTCTGTTTTCCCTTAGTTGTAGGTAAATAAAGCACAAGCGGTTTAATTACCCCTAACTACTAAATAATCTAAAACAAGCGCTATAGATTTAATTTAATAGCAGCAATAGGAACTAGGAAAACCGACAAACTAAATAACACAAGCACAAGCGGTTGCATTTAATTTAGGAAAATATTCTACCCGAGACCAATTATCACTAAGCCGTCAATAATTAACCTCAGTTGCTACTGAATATTAGAATAATTTGTAGCACAACATTATCTAATATAGCAAATAATTATATCAAATAAATAACTAGTAGGCCTCCCTAGCAATTAAATGATACAACTATTCAAATAACTTAGAAGAATATTTAATACTCAAAATGCATAAAAACATATATATATATATATATATATATATATAATAAAGTTAAATAAATAACCTTACAGCGTTATGAACTCCAGGGCTTCAATTTACTAAACCAACTAGAAATTAGCCACAAATGGACATTGATAACAACTTCAACGAATACTATAGAGGGGGGAAGAATGAACATTTTACAATAGAAAACCTTAACTATTTATATATTTTCCCAATCATTTTCTACCACTCATTTTTCCTATTATTTTGCCTTATGCCTGAGTCTTCCACAATTCCAGCCATGTTATTATGATGCGTGCCTGTACAAAAAAGAAAAAATCAATTGCAAAGTTTAGATTTATAATATATATATATATATATATATATATATATATATATATATATATATATATAAAGTAATTATAATGTAGTACGCATTATATGTATACTATAATGCATTCTATATTATATATATTATATTATATGTTATATATATATAGTATTAAGTACGTAGTATGTACTCTTATAAATTATATATTATATATATTATATATAGTATAAGAATAGATTATACTATGTATATAAAAAGAACTAATTATTAGATAATATTAAATAATTAATATAAAAATATTATAAAGATGTAACTAAAATATGAGTGTAAAATATGCCCATCAGCTGGTAAATGTAAAAAGACAAAAAAGTACATCTTCATAAAATTTAAATAGTTTTAAATTTTAAATAGGATTGTTACATATTAAAATTTAATATTTTAAAGTGTAATGATTTATAAAATCTTATAAAATATTATAGAACTCATATGATTGTAAAGAATTGTAGGGTGGATTTTAGAGATATAATCATAGTCATACGATCAAGTAGATTTTCACCATTTGTTAAGGAGGTTGAATAAGTATAAATAACCTCATGGTGCTGCCAGGCACCTTGTGCTCAGATGACATGTATAGTGACATCTTCCATATGGGAGGTCTCGTTGTTGATGTGATGCTCATTTTTTATTCCAAGAATTTCTTATAATTGAATCCATAACAATTTTCGCATTGAAGCCACAACTCCCTATATTTTTTTAGTTTGATCGAGATCATTGCAACTTTTTCTAAATGTCCAAAATTAAATAGGTGAATAAAAAGGATCAAAATTGTTTTAATTGAGAAGGGCAACTGTTATTTATTAAAAAAAATAATAAGGATAAAGAAGAAAAAAAAAGTTAGGAAGATACTAGCTTATTTTTGAAACGCTAACGTTTCAAAATAAACTCTTATTTTAAGCTACTAGCTTATTGTGAGAACATTACCAAATAAAACGTATAGCTTATTAATAACTTAAAA